CATTGAGAAACTGTTTACCTGTCTGCCCACTATTTTTGTATACGATTACATAGGTGTTGCACATTAATATATATATTGCAACACAATGATTACATAGGTGTTGCACAATAATATGTATATTGCAGCACAATTATTGAGAAAAACATGCAAAATAAGAGACACACAAAAGAAAAAAAAAAAAAGCAAACAAAAATAAAATAAAAAATACAACATACATAAACAAAACTATATACGGAGCTGAAGACATCAAATGCCAAAACATGTAATACCGGTCAACATAATATATTTACGACCGCAAATCAATTTCAATGTTCATGCCACCAAAACACATAAAACCTTCATCGGTCAGAAATAGGTCTAAACCTCAAAACACAACATAAGAAAAACACCAAAACACCACAATAGTTCGAACACGCAAAACGATATGACGTCCTAAAACAAAAAGGAAACCCAACATACTTAGTCGTAGGCGACAATACCACCAATTCTCATACAAACCACTCACTCAATGAGCAACATCTCGCTCCTGTTTCTTCTTCAAGTACAGAGGGTGAAATTCCTTGGCCGCAACTACATTGTCCTCCTTCAGGGTGTTGTTGGGAGCGCATGCTACAACGTAGCAATAACGCTTCCTCATCAGCTTCATCTGCACCTTATCCGCCTTCTTTATTTCAGGTTTCCAGCCTTTCAAAGCAGCCCCCTTGAATGTCTCCATGTGTCGCATGGTGACTACGCCGCTATCTACCACATCGACACCCTCTGTCCATGATGGATTGACAATTTCCGGCTTCGCCATAGCAACTACCTTCGAGAACCTCCCCATTTTCCTCTCGTCTAGGTATTTTGAGAACGATCGCTTCTGCATAAACATCACGAATCATCAACAATATACATTCATAACGTAACACGAAAGAGCATATACGAATAGTTATACTTACAAGCAGCTCCACATGTGCCGTAACCTTTCTCTTAACAGCAACCTTTTTACAATAAAAAGCACTGTCCAGAACTACCACTTTGAGCTTCCGTGCAGCCGGTGCAATGCACAACACGCCAGAAATATCACTCGAGTGCACAGGGAACAAAAACTAAATTGGAAAATAAATTAACAATTATAATACACGACATTTCACCTTATAAAATAAATCTGGAGGACAAATAGTATAAAATCAATTGGTAGACTCAACAGGAATATTAATAATAATAATAATATTAATAATAATATTAATTCACCAGTGACATTTGGTCCAACTGATATCGGGACATCCGCACAATCTCGGCATCAATACATTCTGCAAACTTGTTATAGGCAACGTCCTTCCTCTGCTTGCTCTCTATAAACAACTACAAACGTGCACAACATCACAAATTACAACCGTTATTATATGAAATCAACAACATGTACACACACTTTGAAATTATTCGTTGCACATACTACCTCGTTGCATGGAGACGTAGTCGCATAGAAACATGTCGTTGAGCCGCGACTCTTGAATCTCTCATTGTGATTAAGGACACAGGCCCACAAGTCTATCATCGCCTCAGAAATATGTTCGTTGGGAATCAAACTCGCCACAACTGACCTCGGGACAGAGTATCCAAACGACTGGAACACTATTGTCTCATTTTGCCTAAATATCACCATTCGTAAAACATAATCATTCAGAACAATATTTAGTGCTCGCAATATATTAAAATTAAAAAATAATATTATGATTAATGATCGAGTAATTGCAATTTACAGCACATGATTGACAACGTCAGTTAGAAAGCTTACTCGCAAGTCAAGTGATTCTTCATAACCCAGATAGCTACCATCTTCTCTAGTGCATCTAATTTCTTTCTCACGCCAATCAACCTCTTCTTATATGGTGACTTGTTTGCACTAGTCGTATTGGTTACCCGTTTTGGCCTTGTGTTGCAATCCAATCCATCATCACTCCCAACACCTACACACGAACTCATGATGTATGGACAAAGAACAATAAACTACAAAAAAATATCCGAGTGCAAATTGACTAATTAACTAAATGGAATGCTTACATATACCTTGGCTTACGTCGACCTCATCCGCACTGCCACTCTCACCACCATCCGTATGCTCGGAAACAGCAACCTCATCTACACAATGACAATACACTAAACCATATAATACAAGTATATGCCGAGTACAAATCACTTACACACGTAACGAAATATATTACGCATTAATATATATATATACAAAAAAATAAAAACATACAGAACGGAAAAATTGCACAAATATCAGTATACGTACCTTGTACACCACCGACAGCTGCATCATCAACACCGACATTCTTACCAACATCAATTTCAACTGTGACGAAATAGTGAACATTAAAAACACCCACACAACCAATATAAATAAAAACATTATTCACACAAAAACATCAATTTTAACGTACGTTGAACATTACCTGTAGGTATATCTACCCCCGATGATCCTCCAACAACTACGCCGTCAGCCTGCTGTTCATTAATGCCACTACCCAATTCGCCCGATTGATGGTGGCGAGCATCAGAATCATCTTCGTCTTGTGTTAATCCCAAACCCAAGTTGTAGCTTGGACCCTCAAAGTGTATCCGTCTAAAACGGTCTCGACGTGCAACCGCAGCAATTATATCGTCCAATGCAGCTATCGTCGCAGGATCATTCCAAAATGCGTCATCTATGGAATGAGCTGCATTCTCCTTTACAAAATCTTTGTCCACGTCTTCCTTTCGCGTAGGGTCCACTTGGTTTGGATCCGTATCAGGGAAGACCTGCTGACTATTATTTATTTTCGACTTTTGATTTGAATCGTCACCTGAAACACCAAGAAGTTTCTGTGCGGCAGATTGCATCTTCATAAAGTTTTCATCATCAAACAGAACCTGCGGAGCCTTCTCGGCGAGTCGTAATATCTCAATGCCGGTATTTGCAAGAATCCGGGTTTTAGATGCAAATTCTTGAAGAAATGCCTGCCAATAAGAATAAATACGTGTACACAACCAAATTAACTTATATTAATATGTGTTCTCAGTCAAAGAACTTTATATAATAATAGACAGAACATTATATAATCATCAGATGAACCTTATATTATCGTACAATGAACGAAAATATATCAACAAACAATAACACACACATGACGAAAATATCAAAGTCCAGCAATGTCGCAACACAGCGGTTACACACATTGAAATTCTAACAGTCTCAAACCACTGTGTTTGCACACACACAGATATCATCACATGCAATCTGACAAACATTAAATAACCAAATGCACGCATACCTGGACATCGTGTTCAGCATCACACCTAGTCGTTGGCTCGCCATCCGCATTTTTTTCAATTATGTCTGGACGACAATCATCTTCCATGACACATGCGTCAACATCCACGAATCCTCTACCAAATGCACCGGACTCTATCTCGTCCCGTTCTCTGTCCCTCAAAAGGTCATTACTCCATGCTTTAAATACGGGGAATGATCTTGGAACTGATCTCATCGACAACACAACTTTATCCACATAGAACAACTACATAAAAAAAAAAATAAGCAACACGATCACACATCGTAATATATATGTATATATAACAGAAAAAAAACTAAACAAAAAATTGCTACTAACCGTCAGAAACATCAACGGGCCTGTATATTTATTCTTTTTGTCGGTACTACCCCATGTTTTTCTTGTGTTCACAAGACAACTTATCATAAACGAGCACCAGTTCATGTCGGAAACCTTTGATACATCGTCGAGCAAGTGAACAATATGAGAATTCACCATCCCATTTTGACAGCTCTCAAACAAGCATGTCACCATCAGAACAATGAAGTGCCTCTTAAACCAATCGCCGCCGTCTGCACATTCACGAAACTTCTCGAGCACCTTAGTTGCTGTGATATTGGTTAAGTTTTTAACATCAAATAGGCTAATCCACTGACTAAGTATGGCTGACTCCGCCCTCTTTTTTTTGTTCGATATCTGAAGCGAGCCACGAGGAAGTCCTAAAACAGTATACACATCCTCCTCCCTCACATGTATCTTTTCACCATCGTAAAGCCGCAGTTTGCGGTCCGTATAGTTGAAGTTTTCCACCAACCAGAACCCCATTTTCAATGGCAACGACGTTATCTTCAAGTCTAATAGGGCTCCAAAGCCCATCTCGCGAACTGCATGTTTCTGTGGATCGGACAGTCCAGTCACAGCCTTCACAAACGTAGATGCTGACGATCTCGTATTCAC